AAGTCAGGCTACCAGCACAGTCATATTCACAAAACTAAAGAGTTTGCACACAAAGTTACTAAAATGGCAGCAAAAACTGACTCAAATTATTCCTGTATTGAGTTTTTTCAAATTTTCGGACATTATTTTGTTGATTTAAAAAAATCGAAATTTGATTCGAGACGGACAAAATTTTTTGCGTATTTGGGCTATGTTCAGTACTTAATAAAATGGTTAATCCTTATAATAACATTGATTCATTATTTGTTGACTTCGCAAAAATTGATTTTCCGAGAAAACTACTTAAAGGTGTGCTTGATATGGTGGTTTTATCCTTATGGTGTAATGACATTGATGCTGAGTTTTAAGTATAGACAAACAGACTGGAAATTTTGGAAAGCTCTAAATACAATTGATGAATTAATGACAAAGTTCCTGAACATCTCCATTGAAACCAAACGATTTAACAAATTTAAAAACATAATTTTTGGTAGCTTTACATCATTCGTCGTCATAATCATACTTCGTATGTTTCGAAAATCACCGCTAATTCGACATAGTCCTGATTATTATTCAGCTGCAATTACATTTATTGTGATTTGCACTCAATTGTCTTTGATAAAATTTTCCATTTATGTCTACATAATCACTGATCGTTTACAGCACTTACTAAACTATAATGTCTTGTCAGAGGATAATTTTATCGTGTTTCAACAAATTCTGACAAATTTATGGATGATGTCAAAGAAAATTGAGAAAATCTTTGGATTTCAAATGATTATGTATGCAATGAGCATAATCATCTCTGTCATATCGTCTGGACATTTCTTAGTCATTCATATATTCACAAATAATATGCATTTTGAGCCATTTTTTTACGTTTTAATGCCTTTAGTCACCAATTTTTTAATATCATCTTTCTGCCAAAATTGTACGAACAAGGTAAGCATAAGAATGCCATTCTTGGGCTCACAGAAGCTTTTTTATAACTCAAAACAACATTTTTCTCAAATCAACAGTTTAAAATGATCGAAACAAAATTGTCAACTTATTCGCAAAAGTATAAATCCTACACAGGATTCATCGAAGGCTTGCAGATGCAGTTTCTGCATCAAAGAATTAAGTTTGAGCCATGCAGCATGCTGTCATTGGACAAAACATTTATTGTCGATTTTGTGTCTTTTACAGTTTTTTATGATGCTGTTTTCTTGCAGTTTTACTTGCTGTAAATAGGAAAAAAAAAATTTAAAAAGTTTTGTTAACCGAATGGTATGCTGAACATGTGTCTAGTGAAATTCTCATGAGAATTTGCATTTGGCATTAGCTGACCCTACATCTTGTAATCAACTAGTGTTCTACATTGGAACAATAAAGTTTCGTAATTTGTTTATGGAAATGCAGCCTTAAAAAGATAAATTAATTGATAGTGTGTTAAAAATTCAAAAATTAATACGTTAAACTTTAATGATTTTAAGGCTTAGCATATCGATTTGAGTTTTTCAAAAATTGAAATTAATCAAGCAGGTTCATGCTGTTTTGCGTGAATTTTGATATTAAATCAAATGACTTTAAAATTGATTTGTGTGTTTACTGTTTGTCTGGCGCGTAACCAGGGGGGAATTTGGGAAACAAATCTCCCGACATTAACAGAAATTTCTCTGAATTTTCGATAAAAAATTTTTTTGTCCCCCCTTTTCAAATTCCTGGCAACGCCCCTGCTGTTTGTTTTTAAAAAAGTGCAAATTCATTATTTTTCAGTCTAATTGACATTTCTTGAATCTATTCTACACAAAATCTTTTAATTTTTCCCGTTTCTCCCTACAATTTCATTCAAAAATAATACAAATTCCATTTAAAAGAGAATCCCAAAAAAAATTCCTTACAGCCACAAAAAGGATGAATAATTTCTTTTTGCAGCCAACGCAGATTTCTTTATACTTAACAAGACATTATATCCTTATTCATAAATGTTAATTTAGTCTCAAGAGCATTATTAAAACTTTTTCATTTGGTTCCTTTTTTGTTGTTGTCTATTTTCGTGAATTCAAATTACATTTTTTAATGACGCTTCTTTTGTTTTTTTCATCTCTGCTCCTATTCTAATACAACAGATTTCATTCACATTTTGATATTATGAAGCATGTGACTGAGATTTAAAACCTTTAAAATCACTTGAGAAGCACCTGAGATGATTTTGTTTGAGGTTATCGCGTGACCGTAAAGAGCGCAATAATGAATCATTTAAATGTCAATGAACTTGCCGAAGAGATTATTTCACGTAACTTATTTAAGAAATGTTTTAATCAGGTGGGACTGACAACGTGTTTTATTAAATTAAATGGATGGAAATTTTCAATTTATGTCATTTTTATAAACCAGCACAAAGATATGGTTTCAAAGAAGAGTGTGGCTTATTCAGCCGATACTGCAGGTGCATGAGTATGGCACCATTGATCAGTAAGACTGTCAGCATAACTCATTCTTTGTTAAAGATGTGGGTTTGTTTCCTAAAAGAGACTCATTTTGTAATGCTGATTTGAATAGTCCCCAGAATGTAGTTATAGCTAAGATTGAATTGACAAATCTGAAACTTAATCGGAAAATTCTTTTAATTTTAATGAATTTTTCAAATGAATTCATTTGTGGCTCGGGTAAACCCTCAAAGCAGCTAACCTAAACTCACCACATCCTCAATTAGACTCAAGTAGTAATAAGAAAATCTCATAGGCACTTAACTCTATCAAGTGAGGTAAAAGGGTTAGCATCACTCTCTTTTCAATAATTACTTTGTGGCTAGACTAAATTGATGATTAAAGATAATTAACATCTTACCAACCGCTATATTGTGTGGGGTTGATAAATTAATCTTCACGACCACAAGTTGAGATAATTCAATTGCTTGAAAATTATATGATGAAAATTGGATGTTCAAAGGTAAATTCAACTCGAAAGAATAAGTTTAAAGCAATAATTTCTCGCACCTTTTTCTCAAAAACTCATTCATCAAACTTTCTTTAAATTAATCAAACAGAAGTGTCAAAAATTTGTTGCTTAATATTCTATGGAAATTACTCATCTTGATAATTTCTTTACATACATTGATAAATGATGAGGATTTACTGACAAATTATTGAAGAAATTTGTTTCTATGTCAAATATTTAGGACTTAATATTTGTTTTATGGAAGCTTTAATGATGGATATATTGGGTGTGATGACGTATGTTGAATAAATTCGGATAAGTTTTCTTAATTACTTCTTGGTCTTTTTATAAGATTTGATACAATTGTATGGAATTTGAAGATAATATCTATTTTATAGCTCAATTGTTGTAAGTTTTCACTAAGTTCGACGATGTTAGAAGAGATATCTGACTTCAATCAGTAAAATATTCAAGTTAACATAGTTAAAATCAACTCGAATTCGTTCAAATCGGTTTAACTTTAAGATCTGCAATGTTTTACACTAATATCGTACTTTATCAATCATTGTAACACCAATTGTATCTATTTAGTTTTGAATATTTTAAGCATTAATAAACGGAAACCTGAAAATAAGAAAAGTCAATTAAAAATCAATTCTTTTTCATTTTTTCATATTCATCTCAAATTATCCTTTATTTCATAATTGTTATTTTCATTAATATAATTATTATTAACTAATTGATGCATGTTGTTGTAATATTTTCATATTTTTATTTAACGATACATAGTTATAATAATTTCATGAATGTCTCATTGTATGTACATTAAAATTGTGTATTTATATTGAATAATATATAAACTTTCTCAGTGCATTTTAATTTTTTTTTCTTTCATTTCAGAGACAATAACATGGGAATTTATAAATATTTTTGTTGCCAAGAAGAGAATCCTTTAAATATTTGTTTTATTAAAATTTTGGAAATAGAGGAAATTTAATTTTTTTGCTTGTATTGAGCGCATTTTTTAAGGGAAAAAAGATTTGTGAACATTAAAAACTTTAATTTATACAATATTTTTTTTGCATATTAGATCTTTTTCCTTACGAAAAAGGAACTGTTTCGAGCAACATATGAACTTTGTGGAGGTTGTCAAGATAGCGCTGTATCATATCGAACTATAAACTGGTAAGATTCTATGACTAGGAATCAAAGAAAATTATACAAAATAAAAGATTTTAATCTAGTTCATTTTGTGTACTATAAACTTATTTTTTCAAAAGATTATGTTTGATTTTAATGCCGGAAACTTCTGAAAGATTTTACATCCAAAAAAATTGTTGAAAATTGCTAATAAAAAAAAAATTTATATCTTTAAACTTAAGAAAATAATCAATTTTGTTTAAACTTTGAGTTGTTAAAGAACTTCCAATTGAACTTACCAGCCACCATGTGACAACCCTCACAATTCCATGTTACTTTTCATATAATTTATTTTTTGTTGTTCTATGATTGAAAATAGAGTTGCACTTACGAATTAATTGTTTTCCACACAATTTTCTTAATTTTCATCATTTTCTGTTCCTAATACTGTCATATTAGGAGAATTTCATTTTTTTAAATATTGATAAAGTTTCTTACTTCAAAGCACATTTAGAAGAATTTCTCTTACTTTAAATTAATTAATTCCATGTTTTCAGAAATGCTTGATTGATGGGCAAAAACTGAGAGAAAAGCTTTAATTTCAATGTGGATATATATTTTTTATAACTTTACATTTTACGAGAGAGAGAATTTTTATTTTTTTTTTCATTTTCCATTCATTTTATTCATTATTATTATAAAGAATTACAAAGAACTTTTTATGATGTGTGAATGTTGAAGATGTCTTTTAATTAAACTTTGCGGTATTTAGGAAATTGTAAATTGTTAAGTGTTAATAACATTTATTCCTGTTTGCATGTGTAATTTTTGTAATGGCTTTATTCAGCAGTTGTGTCATAGTTCTTTACAAACTGAGAGCAGTTTTAAAATTTCGGACTCTTTGCTGGCTTATGATAGATATCCCATTTGTGAACTCAATCAGAAAACTAATGTTAACGAATTCTTGAACATGTCAATTTAATACTTTAGCAATTAAACTTTAAAACTTTCAATAAATCTAACCACAATGACTCCATACTTGATTATTGACATACAGCTTCTAAAACACAAATTTCGGAATCTAGCGGGTTGATTGTTAATCACAAAATTCCTCATTTACCCAAGGCAGAACAACCCAAAAAAACATCATCATTATCAGCTCTGCTGCACAAGTATTTAATTTTCAACGTGTTTACTAAAACGCCTTTAGTCTAAAAAGTATTTCGTGTAACTTAAAACAATCAAAAATGGTTGAAATTTTCTGTCTACCTTTAAAACCACAAGCGACTTAATAAATTCAAATCAAAAATTTGCGGTAGTCTGGTATGAAAATACTTAGGATGTATCATGCGTCTTTATAAACAACCTTGAAAATATTTCTAAAACCAAATTTAAAAAGAAAGTAAAAGTTCAATGGAAAATTTCTTGAATGATTTTTTAAAATTTTAATTTTAAGTTTTTTATTTTAATTTTATTAAGTTTTCTGAAATATTTATCAGACAGCTACAGAATTCCTCATTTTTGATTTAAGTTCATCTTTTACTCCTCAATCTTATATAGTTTCTTATCATAAATTAGTTTGAACTCACATCTCGGAAGTATGTTTTTAGTTCTGTAAACGTTTAAATCTCAAACTTCGAGATAATTCTTTAAACATTCTTAAGGAAACTCAGATAATGATGTTGGTTGCATGTCCTACAACTCTAATCAAAGCACCAGATCACAGAACATTTTGAATATGTTTTTCTAGTAGTTCAAAGCCTCCAGGAAGTTTTTGTATTATCCATTGATAGCAACTGTAATTTAGAGTCCTTAATCTTAAATGTTTTCACTTAAAATAACGAATTAGCATTTAAAATCATGTAAAATGTTTACTCTTGCACTTGTGCTGTGACACAACTGTTAAATTTCACCCTAACAATTGACTTATGCTCTTTTAAATACTCTTGTTCTTAACAAGCATTAATTACAAACGAAAATTTTCTTATTTTTTTACAAAAACGGAATTAAAAACTTTTTTTTAAAAAAACTTAAATAACAAACTTAAAAGGAACTTCCTGTAAGCTGCATTGTGTATGATTGTTCAGCTTAAAGGTATTAATTACATTTGCATATTCCCCATGTACATGTTAAGCACCAAAATGGAACATAAATTTTACCGACAGCAACAAAACAGAATGAAGAGCATAAATTAATAGAATAATTCACATGACGACGAGCTGCTGCTGCTGTTGATGTTATTTCTCGTTTTCTTCATGCATTCACATAGTTTTTTTGTTCTGTTCTTTTTTTTCTATTTTACTAATTTGCTTTAATTGTTTTTAATTTCCTTGTGTTTTTTGAGAATATGAGTTTTGAGAACTTAAGCCAGGATGCGAGAAAGTTGGGTGATTGTATTGTTGATGATAATGCTTCTTAATTGGTTTCGTCAGCTCGATTTTGATCGTTTACCTGAGTTTAAGGAGGAGAATTTTAGAAAATAAATAATTATTTTTCCTTTGGCAATAAGAGATTGTTTAGATATTGCGTAGTACATAAGGCAAGCTATGAAGGGGTTGTTCACAAAATACGTCGTTTAGTCGATTAGATGTTGATCCAATTTTTATCAGATCCTACCTTTACCCCATCAATAATAGACATCATTTGTAAACACCCCCAACATAAAATTCAACATTTAAAACTTTTCCTTTTGCAATAAAAAATCTTTCAGAAGTGCAATTTCTCCAACTTTATCCAATAAAAGTCCATCAGATTCATTTAAAATTCATAAGTTTCTCTAGAAAATCTCAACTTAAATGAAAAACTGTTGTTTAAATTGTAATTTAAGCTAAAACTTATCTGTCCTTATCATACAATTATGCTTCTCCTGCTTATATTTATCGTTGCACCTTCATTTCATTAGAACAATGCAAACACACGTTCACAGATATGGAAGTGTAGGATGTATGGATGGAATAGTATTGTAGTTAATTGGCAGTGCACAAATTTCTCAAATTCTGTGCAAATTTTAAGTTATTAGTAAGACATTTTAAGTTTCAACATTAATTTCTTGTTCTTCTTTTTAGAACCGAATGTTACTGCTGTATTCATCACGCCACTGATTCCATCCATACAATCTTCTACAAAACAAGCTTCTAAACCAGTAAAAGTTCACAATTTAATCAAATAAAGGAGAGATAAACTTTCCATACTAAATGAACATTGGACAATTTCCCACGTTGACAATCTCTTAACTCTTTAAGAAGTAGAAAAAAGTTTTTTATTGCTTGATTTTGCCAACATCAACATTTTCATATTTTTCATCAACACCCATAAATATGCAATGGAAAAGTTTTGAGTCATAAAATTAACTGCATGCATTTAAAATTAAATATTCATGAAACATGCACTTACTTCATTGTCAAGCATGGAGGAGTCGCGTTTACCAAAGCGGAGACGTACTGATGGCGTTCTTTGTGCCTTTCTACTGAGTGGTTCATTACCGTAAAGCATCGCCTCCTGTTAAATAAAATCACAATTAAAATTGCTTATTATAAGACAGACAATAAAGCACAGGAAATTTACCTCATTAAGTAACGACATTAATGGATCATTTCTTCTTCCGAATCTCAGTCGCATTGATGGTGATCTAATTGATTTCTGCTCAATTTCATTATCGATTTCATTATCCTGTTTTTAGAAAATGGATATTCGATGTATTCGTTACACGAGAATGAAAATAAAAAGTGAGGGAAAAAAATTATTTCAACTTTAATGAACAGGTGAATGAGTTTGGGATTAATATTATGGATTAGCGCGTTTTACTCAAGTTTGTTCTTCATTTGGGACAGGTTTTTACTCTACAATCATCGAGCATACATTAAGGAGCTAGCGTAGAGATTCAAGACTAATGTCGATAGACATATAAGATTCAGATTGCCTAGAAAGCGACATGTTGTTGCTTAATATATCAATCCTCAAGACTGTCATGTCACCATCACATTCGTTAACGTTAATAACAAAGCAATAGAAGCTCCCTCTTCAATTTAAACATTATTACCGCTCATGTAGCATCGAAAAATTTCCTCAATCAAGAAAACGCGCTTAATTGATATAAAGTAATGAGTAAATTACATACCCTTAATGGGACATCCGGATCGCTTCGTCTACCAAAACGCAATCTCATTGATGGTGACCTTACACCTTTACGTTCCATAGTATGATCGAGGGATAATGGCTCGGCATATTCTCTATTAAGCAAATATTCGTAGAAGGCTTTCACTGAAGCTACACGGAAGAGACAAAGAAAAATCATTAAAATTAGTCAATTGAGATAATTTTGGTTTAAACTTACAGTCATCGCTAGCTGGTGCTGCGGAAGTAATGACGTCATATGATGACACAACCAAAACTAGACTGATAGCTACCAAACCAAGTTGATTCATGATTATATTTTTTTCTATTGTGATTTTATTAATTAAACGAATAAAAGAGAGTCTGTAATTAGAATGAAGAGAATTGAAAATTAATCCAAGGTTATTAGAATGTGCTGGAATGGAAAAATGAGAACCATAAATTTCAAATAATGTTGCGTGTCTATTTAAATATCGATAAATAATTTTTGCTAACCATTGTTGTCCTGTATTTAGGTTTTCTTTGCTTTTTTGAAATAGATTAATGAGCATCAGTTTCACGAAAATGCATGTTGTAAATTGATATTTATAAAAGCTCACATTTTGACCTCGATGGAGAGTTTAATGAATTCTAATTTTTTTTTTACGAAATTTGCCGATAATGAACAACTTTTGAAATTCACCCACATTATAGAAAAGATAATTGTGTAAGCTTCCTTCTTGTTAATCCAACATCTCCAGGCTAGTCAAAATTTATTAAAATTTTCATTAAAATTAACAAATCCAATCAATACTTCAATAATATTATCTTTTAATCAAGCAACAGATTGTTAAGATTTTGTGCTGAGCGGATGTTGATGGTTAATTAGCACACAAAAAGATAGGCTTTAATAGTAAAGATGTATATATTTATAATAAAAATATTGTGTTTTGAGAATTTTAAAATTCAGGCTAGATGATTGGGATTTATTCAAGTTTTTTTTATTCTTGATGGGAAAAAAATTGAGGTTAATGAACAGCATTGATCTGAATTGTAAAATAAGCTTTAATTTCAAATTTTGTAAGAAAATATTTAAGAATCTCCGTAGAAATGTCTCTAAACCTTCAAATGAAATTTTTTTAAAATCAAAATCATCCACATAAATCCTCAGAATCTCTAGATTCATAATTTAGATAAAATGTCAACTAAATAAAAGTCCAGCAATAAAATTACCAATCACGCTCTTTATAATCTCGCGACAATCTCTCCAATAACTCGAGAAAAGATATAAAAATGGAAATTGAAAAGGGAAATTGCAGTAAAAAAGAAGAATAAATTAAGGTTGATATTGAATCTCGATGTCACTTGGTCAAGAGGAGATGAAGAAATTGAAAAAAGAAATCGTTGTGTGATAATTCCATTATAAATTCGAATTGGTTGACTAGTGACAGGTAATTATCAATTCATTTGCTTTTTAATCTCATTCATTTAATTTATGCTTAATTGATTTTTTAAACAATGTTTTAACCAGGAGATTGAATGTGATTTTAAGGATGAATTCTTGAATTTGATTATTTATATCGAAATAGAGGTTTTACGAAAGTGGTGAAAATCTCGCAATTTTATCGGAAAATTCAATTCTGCAACTTAAACATTTTAAAAAAATGAATCCAAATTTCATGAATTTGTTAGCATTAAACTCCAGAAAGATTGAAAAACATAAATTTAAAAATAAAAATTCACAAACAAAAAAACTATCAGCCTTTAATTCCACGTGCTTGACAACAATATTTGCAAATAAATTTTGAATAAAAACTTTAAATAGCGATTAATTTACATAATGTTATACTGGTATCACTGAGCATCACCAACATGTGTGATATTGACCCAGAATATAAAAAAGTATTTCTTTGGAAAAAACAATAATAAAATATTCGGAAAAATTGTGTCATATGTCGTGCGTTTATAAAGTTGCTTATGTTGGGATAAGAATAAATCTGAATATGATGTGCAGATGAAAAACGTGAATAATTTTTTTGGAATCTCTGATGTCTGATGTGAATAGTAAAATTTGAGATATCCTAAAGTTCAAAACATAAATTTAATGTCCTAAAGACTAGCAAGTAAGTAAGTTGCTAAGAAAGTAAATTGTTTCAATAAAGGACAAATCAAAGACAACAAAGTTTCAATCATTGTCACCTGAAGCCGCACAAACTTTTACACTCGATTTAAAAATGTCAACAATTTGACCCTTTTTGCTATCTTTGATTTTATGACGTTTGGAGTTGCGTCATCAACATTATTCTGATCAAAAGCATTCAACAAGTTTTTAAGTAAAATCCTTCAAGCTCTTTGATCATCCTGTTAATATCAAAAGCTGTTCAAACTTCTGTATATAAAAAAATTAATGAATAAAGAATTTTCCATCAAACTTCATTTAAATATTTTATCGGTTTCATCAAACATATTAAATTACAGTCAGTAATTAATCTCATCATTTTCATGCCGCTCAAAGAATAATGAAAAATGATATTTGATTAACACTTCATAATTCTCTTACAATTTTTTGGAAATTAATGCTCAATTGATGATTAATGGATTATGTAATGGGTGAGACACCTTCAAGCGTAATCGCCTTATTATCATAACAATTAATTTTTATGAATGTTGAAATTAATTTTGTAAATGTTCCGTCCGTCAAACAATTGATGAATATTAAGCAAATATTTACGGATGAACAACAACAAAATTGATGTTGATCGGAAAATGAAGTGAAGGACGAATAAGTTGGTAAAAGAGATATTTGGGCTTAAGTTGGAGTGGGAAGCTTATTTAGGCTTAGCTTGGTGAGGGTTGGAGCTAATGTAAGAATGTTTAGATCTGTCCTAGTAAATCTGGTCCTCTGAGGACCTAATACTGCTAAAAAATAACCATTCACATGAATATTCATATCAATTTCACTGATGAAACGCTCAAATATGAATAATATTGATCCAAAAGGTCGCAACTGTCAAACTCATTTCATTTCAAAGTAGAACATGAGGAAATTAATTTCAGTTTTTCGATAAAAGTTACATCATCACATATTTGCACAAACCATTAAAAATGTGACTTCAAATATTTACATGTGACGATGACTATGTTTGTGACATTTATATGCTTTACTACATCTGTACTTTCACTTTATTGCCATTTACTTCCACGAAATTATTGTTGACTATGCTGTTTCCCTCAATATTTTTTAACATTTTCTCCACTTGTTGCTCGATATTCAACACTACATAGTGGAAAACAGGGAAATAAAAACATTTTGGAGGAGAAAGTTTTATTGGAAATTGAAGAAGTTTAATTACGAATTTGTTTTTTTTTTTAAGGTTTGTGAGTTCATAAAGGGTCATTTGCAGAGGTAGTTTATAGGAGATTAATGCAGAATTTTAAGACTAATCCAATTCTTTAATTTATTAAGGCTAATATGATTCCTTAGAGGCATCTTTGGACCTAAAAAGGAAACAAATCTTTTGAAATGCAAGAGCAATGCAGAGCTGTATCAGCTTTTTACAGAAGAATCTGGTGAATTAGGAATCATTAAAAGAATCAAAGTAAATAAGCTTCGATGTGCTGGGCATGTTATAAGGAGACCTGTGGAAGCTCTATTGCTTAAGATCTTCAAAACAGACTTTGTAGATGGCAAGAGAGCATGGGCAAGACCAGTATTGTATTTGGTATAGTAAATTGACAAGCGGTAGCAAGCGATAGAGCCAGATTTAAGCAGCATCTGAAGGAGACCATCGATCACAAGTAATATGATTTCAAGATGCTTTTACAGACCCATAATGAAACCAATTGCAATTATTTGATTGATTATCACAATTTTATTTCAATGCCTCCATTTATCATGTATTACTGCATTCAATAAAACGATAAAACTGTTACATTTGAAATATTCGATTAAATTTATACTTTATTTGCGTCTGATGCATCTCATACTTTGCTTTGTTATTCAGATTATGACGTATATAAGCGACATTTTTATTCATAGCACTTAAAGGACAAACATTTACCTGCATTAAACATGTCTATTACGTTTCAATAAGTTTATTGTTCTTCTTCTTAACATTTCATTAATTTATGAATCTATAAATATGCTATGATGCTTATGAATGAACAGATTTCATAACACTGACCTATTTAACCAGAACATTCTTTTCTCCTTGTATGCAACATAAATGCTTTATATTTTTACTCTAGTATTTCCATATATAACTAGACCTCTCCTAACCCTTAAAAGATTTGACGTCATACTTAAAAACTCCTTTAAAAATTCCGTGGCATTTCATTTCTATTTCAAAGCCACGTCTACCTCTGATTTCCGTTTTCAAAACTTAAAATTCTCCAGTCTAAACTTATCTACAACAAACTGTCTATAAAGAGATTTACAAACTGGAATTATTGTATGTAATATCCATATCCATTCTGAATAGATAATGTTTAATTCACTCTATGACTTGACATGCTTTTAACATTACATCCATCCCACAAACAATAGAAAATCTGGTGAAAAAAAAAAGTTTTTAAATATTCTGACCTTCTTCAGCATATCATTTGTCCATTGAGAGTCAAAAGTTTTTGTTTGCTTTTTGGTGAATTTTCACAGACTTTATGTGAGCACATTCATCTTTATCATGTGTGTTTTATGAAAAGGAGACATGCTTTTATGATTGTAACTTTTTTTGCATATTTGTGTCAAAGAAAGTTGGTTTTGTGGTTAAAAATTTTTATAGTAAAAAGAAGTCTGTGGTGGATGTTCAAAGTTTTATGTGATCTTTAAGACCACATAAATAAAAATGTTTCGAAATTTCTTAAAGATGAGCAAAGAAAAATTTGATCAGTTAACAATTTGTGGTTTTTTGTAATTTTAAAGAGATTTTTTCGATATAACATCAACAACCTAAGTTGAAGAAGGCTCATTCAAGGCATGTACAGCAGGAGAAGCCACTAAGAAGGTTTAGAGACCAGAATCCCTACTTTTCAACCCAAATACCTGATTGACACTCAAAACCTTTTAATCTGCGCTATAAATCCCCTCAAATCTAACAATTCATCGACTTCCTTTTATAAGGGTTTGAGCCACAAAAATGACTGATAAGAGAGTGAAAGTTTTGCTTGCAGCTTGTTGAAACATGGGGTTTAAAAACAAAAAGCTTACAACTGTCGATGTTGAATCTAGTATAAAGGTTTAATCCCTCCTTTTTTGTAAACTTTATTGAAGAGCTTTTCATGTATGAAACTTTTGAACTCTTTTTGTGGCAGACAAATGATAAAAATTATTCAGAGGATTATTTAATGTTTTTACTTGATGTGAAGGCAGAATTGTGATTAATGAT